TTGCAACAGATGTATGGCCTGCAAAATAAAAAAATATATACCATATGACCCTTTAAGGGAAAGCTGGCCAATTTCTGTGCTAGATTCAAAATCTGAAGGACACTCAAATACGTGGCTCCAGATTGGATATTGTTTTGGACAAGACCACCTTGTAAAAGAGGCTCCAGAGAGATCCTTTGCCCCTTCTTCCATGTGAGGACACAGTAAGAGGGCACCAGCCACGAACCAGGAAGAGGGTCCTCACCAGAACGTAATCATGCCAGCACTCTGATCTTAGATTTCCCAGCCTCCAGAACTGTGAGAAGTAAATTTCTGTTGTTTATAAGCTACCCAGTCTGTGCTATTTTGTTACAACAGCTCAAAACGGACTAAGACAATCTACGGCATCACCTTCTCTCTCAATCTGTATATACCAAGTAGGTGGATTTTATCTCCTAAGCTCTCAATCCGTGCACTTTTTTCCATCTCCACTACCACCATAACACCTGAAGCAACCAACTCCAGCTTGGATGCTACTCTGACCCCCTTTCATTCTGTTCTCCACCTGACTGAAGGTTTCTTTTCATTCATAAATCAGATCATGGTACTCTTACCTGTCACTCCTGATACACCCTTAACATGGTAGGATCTTAGCTCTGCAAACCTCTAGCTGATTCTGTACAATTCTCCCTCCTCCCTCAACCCCTTCCCCATTTCTCTCTGCTCCAGACCCGCTGGTCTTCTTTCAGTTTCTCAAAAGTGCTATGCACCCTCCTGCCACAGAATGTTTGCACAGGCTGTTGTATTTGGAACCTTCCCCCTGCCTTTCTTTGCTTACTTAACTCTTAATCTTTCAGAGCTCAGTCCAAGTGACACTTCCTCAAGGAAGCCTTTTCAGACCTCCCAGTCTAAGTTCTGTTCCTCGTCAAATGCCCAGAGAACCATATTCCTTTTCTTCAGTGCCCTCTTCTCTGTCACTGTGGTAAAGTCATTAGTGCACTTAAGTGGCTGTCTCCACCACTAGACTGTAACCTAGTTTCTACCCACCACTGAGTCCTAGCATTTAGCACATCAGGTGGCACACAGCAGAGACTCAGTAAATATTTGTAGAATGAATGAATGAATGAATGACCAAGTTCCAGTCCCTAGCGAGATGGGATTTGTAAGAGATGGCCAGCAGCCCCAATCAGCCTGCTTCTAGGGACACAGGGCAGGATCAGAACCCCGTTAAAATAACACAACTACTGATAAATCTTAGATACCTAACAGCCCCCAGCTGGTTGGCCCCAAGGGGTAGTTGCTACTAATTACTGCCAGCTGCTCACTGGCTCATTTGGTGGGAGGGAGTGCAGAGGCTACTAGATAGGAATCACTTTAAACCTATGCTTCTCAAACGAGGGGTATTCCAGAGTATGTTAACACCCTGAGATTCCCTGGAGTATCAATTTTACTTTGGAAGACTTAGGGGATAAAATATCTTTTAATTTTAAAAGGGCACTATGTTATTTCAAAGTTAAACACAAGACATCCAAAGAAATGCTGTAAATGCATCCAAATTTACACATCACTGCTGCCACCCCATCACCCCTGGGGTATACTCCACTCTATGTCCTTAAGTGACCTTTGGTGGGTGAGTTTCAGAGCATGAACCAGCCAGCATTGAAAAGGGAGCTTCCACTCCATCCCAAGTTCTATCACTTTGCAATGATTAAGCATAGATTCTTATTGCTTTCAGACTGAGGATATAGTCATCTGTGGTATGATACTCAATGTCACAGAAATTAGTCTCAAGTACAACCGAGGACAATGTTGAAGTGTCCTCTAGGAGGGAGCAATGTTTCCCATAAAACACAAATACATCTGCTTCCCGCCCTCCTTCCCCACATTAGAAACACTGGTTGTAGTTGTAAGGGGCAGCCATTGGTTACATAATTTGAGAAGGGGGAAATTTAGGATTACAACCTGGTGATAGTCAGCTGTCCTAAATCAAAATCTAAGGCTGCTCTTATTAACACTGGTTTTTCTATTACTATTATTAAATTAAAAAAATTTTGGCCATGCTAGGCGTCTTGTGGGATTTCAGTTGCCCGACCAGGGACTGAACCCAGGCAATGGCAATAAAATCCCCGAATCGCAACCACTAGACCACCAGGAAACTTCCTCCACTGGTTTAATTCTTCATGCAACTGTTCCATGCAAAGCTTGTTCATGGACCAATCGTCCATGGGCCTGATATGTTGTTTTCCAAAGTACTGCTCATGACTATTTTGGGCAGAGATTTGAGTAGTGGGTCATAGGCAGAACTTTTTAAATGGCATGGAATAAATATTAACTATCAGTAAGTCACAAAACAAAGACAGAATGTATAGTATGATTCCACTTTTGTTGTAAAAAACACATCGAATATGTTTGCATATTTTTATGATTCTGTATAAATTTTAAAATATGGGAAGGATATAAACTTTAGACACCAGTTACCTCAGGAGAGTGGAAATGAAGGAGAGCATACAAAAAAAAAAATTGTTCCAATTAAGCCCACCTTCTTTAAGAAGTCTTTTTTAGCTTATCTGGTTGAGATTCCTTTATAAATTTTCTTACAAACTTAGTACTAAAATAACACATCTTGTTTTATCCACTCATTCATACTTCCATTGAACAGTCACTGTACTAAGCCCCTGGGAAACAAAGATAAATACCACCAAGTACCTGCCTTAAAAGAGTGTGGTCTAGTGGGAAAGGCACATACATATTTTAATTATAAAATAACGGGGTAAAGTAAAGGGTAGAGTTATGCAGTCTTAAAGAACAGGTAAAAATCAAACAGGCAAGAGGAGATTAGAGGCAGAGGGGACATTACGACCCCAAACTGCCACTCTAAAACCCTATCATAGGCAAGAAACAGCACCTCCAAGTGTTTACAGAGCATAAAAAGGATGAGGCCGGAAAAGCAGGCAGGACCACACCACAGAATGTATGCTAGTTAAGGCACTTCAACTGTCCTGAGGACAGTGACTGAAAGATTTGAAGCACAAGAAAAATGTAGCTGACTTGGTTTTTATAAAGACCACTCTGGAGGCTACACAGAGCATGGATTTAAGGAGACAAAACCTGAGGCAGGGATTTAGTTTTTTTATTACAATACAAACACAAACCTTTAAAAGAAAAAAATAATTGTCTTTTGTGGGGTGTTTCATGGCTCTTACCCCATCTCCCCCATCAATTATATCACAGATTGCAATAAACAGGCTGAGAGACACCACACCTGGATAGTGTCTAAACCTCTGATGACCTTCCCATCCCCCAACCCCACCCCAGGCTCTCCCACAGCATTTTTAAAAACCTCTTTTGTGGCACTTTAACAATGTGCTACTTAAACATTCTCCCCTGCATTTGCTTTGACTGTACATACCTCTCCAGTCTGAAAACTAACTGCACCACTAGATTCTTTATAACTCCACATACTTAGTACAATGTCTCAGTAAAAAATATTGCCTAAAGTAACTGTTCTAAGTTTATAATCCTAAGCTCTCTCCTGAGTGCCAGGCATTTCCAATTGCCCAGTAAATGTCTCCACCTGGATGTCCTGTAAGCATCTCAAATTTAACCTAATCCAAATGGATCTCGTTACATCTCCCACGCACTGCCAAACTACCCATGCTTCCATTTCATGTTTAGGTAGGTATTTATCCCAACACCGAGTCATCTCTGACTGTTCACTCTTCCTTACCTGCCATAAACACTCAGCTGCTAAATGCTGCATATGTACCTCTCTTCCATTTCTCTCTCCCTTTTCCAGTGCCCTTGTTCAAGCTCTGGAATGCTTCCCTGTCTCTCCCTATGACCCACCAAACCTACACAACAGCTGTCTACCTTACTAAAGCAGAGACGTGATCACTGTCGTTTTCCACCTTCAGGTAGCTGGAAACTTCACAAAGACAAGGATCATGTCCAGCTTCACCCACTGCTGTATCCCATAGCTCAAGGCTCCCAATATGTAACTGGCATTCAATGATTTACTTAATGCTCCTTGTCAAAAGCCTTCAGTGAAGCTCTACTGTATACACAGAAAATTAAACTCAGCCAACACATTCGAGTTCCAAGTCACCCTTCCAATCCTAGCTCTTACAACCTCCCCCAGGCTTTCCTAAGTCTGGTACTAAATATGCTTATTCCTTTAGTTCCTGTCGAATTCCCCATCTCTTGTTCTACCGATGCCAAATAGATTATTGTACTTGCCAAGTATAAAACTTTTTTCTCTTCCCACTGTGTGTGTCCTCCAGTTCCCCCACCAGATGGTGATGCCAGCAGAGCAGGGGCCGTGTCTGTGTTCCTAGGCCAGTGCCTGGCCCACTAGAGGCGCCCAGTTACTGTGATATGAACTGTGATATGAATTAGTGAGTCAACGAGTCCCTCGAAGCCATCTTCCTCTCCGCCAAAGAAACGGGAAACCGCGGGGAGGTGCGCGTGGGATGGAGGAGAACATAGTGACAGGCCTTTCGTTTGCTTTTTAGTAGTTTTATTTCCTTTTTTTTTATTGAACGCAACACATATGTTGGAAAAAGCATAAACCGTAACTGCGCAGCTCGTGAATTTTCACAAAGAAGCACACCCGTGAAGCCCGCACCCATACTGAGATCCAGAACATTACCGATACCCAGAGGCCTCCCCTCACCCTCCTCCACAGAGTGCACTTTCAACCCTCAAAAAGCCGGAAAGCGGGCTTCCCTGGTGGCGCAGTGGTTGAGAGTCCGCCTGCCTTTGCAGGGGACAAGGGTTCGTGCCCCGGTCCGGGAAGATCCCACATGCAGTGGAGCGGCTGGGCCCGTGAGCCATGGCCGCTGAGTCTGCGCGTCCGGAGCCTGTGCTCCGCAACGGGAGAGGCCACAACAGTGAGGGGCCCGCGTACCGCAAAAAAAAAAAAAAAAAGAAAAAGCCGGAGAGCTCACGTCCTGGGCCCTGTGGCCGTGGTGCGCGAGGCCCGGGAACCGAAAGAAAGGCCCCAAACTCGGGGAAAGTCTTACCTACGAATTTGAAGCGACTCATGACTGCGGCCCCAGCTCCTTCCTCACGGAAGCGGAAGCGGCCCTCCGTCGCCCCGCCCGCCGGAAGCCCCGCCCACTCACCGCCGACGTCCGGTTTCCCGGCGTACTCCGCGGCCGCTGAAGGTGAAATAGCAGTCATGGCGCTCTCGGTGCCGGCCGCTTACCTGACCCACCAGCAGAAGGTGCTGCGGCTTTATAAGCGGGCGCTGCGCCACCTGGAGTCGTGGTGCATCCACAGGTGGGCGAGGGGGACCCAGGGCGCGGGGAGGTGACCCCGGGGGCCGCCACAGAGGCTGAGAGGCTCTGGGGACCGAGCGGCTCAAGGACTTCTGGGACGGGGTGGGAAGGCGGCCCCTTGCCCCGCGGAGCCCTCCCCTAGACCCGGGTTCGAATGCAGGTTTCGTCGCCCACATCTGGGACACTTTGAAGACTTGTTTATCTGGCCCGGGCCTCAGTTTTCTAATCAGGAAAACGGACGCGGGACCCAGCGCAGAGGGTTGCATGACGATTAAGAGAAAGGAAGTGCCAAACATGGAAATGGTCATACCTCCAGCGCTCACTAAATAATAGCTTCCTTCGTGACTTTCTCGTTCCTGGTACTGGCAGTAATAATAAATGCGTTATTTTCTTTAGTTCTCACAACTCTGGGTGTTAGGGGTTATTTAGCCTTATTTTATAGATGAGAAAATAAGAGGCAAGAGACTGACTTGCTCAAGGCCCAGCAGCTGGTAAGTGGCCGAGCCAGGATTACAACTCAGGTGTCTTAACTCCAAAACATCATCATCACTCCTCCCATCAGCTTTTCTCTTTTTAGCTTCATTCAGTCCTTTTCATTAGCGTCACATCCCACCGAATTCTTTACCTCCCACATAATTCTCTTCTTCTTTCCTCCCTCTGTCCATCTGGGACTAGTCTTAGAACACAGTCTTAAAACATATAGGTTTTCGTGATCTAGATGCAATGCATGGTGGGGTGACAACCCAAGATGTATGAATGCCAGGCCTCCATGCCCTTAGCAGAATCCTAAAACCTAGTGTCAGGAGAAGGGCTTCTGAGAAAAACCTCTAAACAATGGGAAACTGAGTACGTCTGGAAGAGTTGTGGAGAGGATCCTGGAAGCCCAGATTGTATATTTGGGATTATTGTAAAGTCATTGACCTACTTCTCTTTGCTAGGCAGGAAGATGGCCAGGTTCAAGGCTGTAGGGTTAGTTACTTCCCTAATTCTTTTATTCATCTGAAAATTTGCAATTCAGGTTCTGTGGTGGCTGACAGAAGTTAATAAGGCTTCTTTCTCAGCTGTAGCAATTTATGGATTAATGAGGAAGATGGACATATAAACAAACAGATAACATAGAGAATCTTTCATAAAGATGAAGGAAGTCAAGCCATCAGGCATTCAGGTATTGCTGAACTACATCTGAGAATATTAACATTATCTTGGAGGAAAGGATAAAAGTAGTTACTGTGATAACACTGACTCGTCATTTCTTTAAATCTCACTGACATCTTTTCTCAGTACTTGCCTGAATTTTTTCCTTCCATTTGTCCTCATAGCGCTATTTGTTCTGTGTGGGTCCATCCTAGGCCCTTGGTCATTGCTGTGTATACTTTGGGCAGCCTCATCTAACGCTGGGACTTGAGTTACCACCTGTGCTCACTTGTCTGTAGAGCTGTATTTCCAGCTGTTTGCTAGATTACCTACAGTTCTCTAAAACTGAATGTATTTTTCTTTTCACTACCTCATTTTGATTCTCTTCCCAAATTCCCTGCCTCAGCTAATGGCATTACTAGTAATACAGTCACTCAGCTTTAAGTCTTAGCATTATTTTCAAGTACTCCCTACTTACCCCTCTGCCAACAACATACATACTTGTCTGCTGTTGGACACTGATTTTTGTATATTCTCTCCCCAGTGTAATAATATTCGTAGCTTACGTTGGGCACCAAGGATGTACCAAGCACTGTCTGAAGTGTGCTGATATGTTTTAGCTTATTCAATCTTTAGGACAACCCTAAGGTATAGGTACTGTTATTAACTCTTTTATGGAGGAGGAACCCATGGCCTAAAGACTTTAAATAATTTACCCTAGGTTACACAGCTAGGAACTGCAGAGCTGAAACAGTCTTAAGCTATCTGACTCCATAGCCTACTCCTGTAACTTTGTAGTCTAAATGTTTTTCTCTTGTCACCATCCATCACTGTTGCCTGCTTCAAGCCCTTGTCATCTGTGGCCTGGATTATCAAAGCCCCATTACTACTGAGCCATAAAAAAGAATGAAATAATGCCACTTGCAGCAACATGGATGGACCTAGAGATTATATATTAAGTGAAGTAAGTCAAATGGAAAGATAAATATCACATATATGTGGAATCTAAAATAAGGTACAAATGAACTTAATTACAAAACAGAAACAGACTCACAGACAAAGAAAAATTTGTGGTTACCAAAGGGGAAATTGGGGGGAGGGATTAATTAGGAGTTTGGGATTAGTAGATACAGACTACTGTATATAAACTAAACAACAGGGTCCTGCTGTATAGCACAGGGAACTATATTTAATATCTTGTGATAAACTATAATGGAAAAGTATATATATGTATGTATAACGAAATCACTTTGCTGTACACCAGAAACTAACACAACATTGTAAATCAACTACAATAAAAAATAAAAAAAAATTTTAAAGCCCCGTAAATGATCTCTGCCCATGGTTTCTTCTAGAACCTGACCGAAACTTGCCTAAGGTCAGGCAGCTAGTGTCAGAGTCAGAGTTGAAACCCAGGTCTGTCTGATTTGAGCAACACTCTTTGCACCATGTATCAGTAATACGTGCCTTCTACATCTTTGTGTCTCCAGAATTTAGCACAGTGCCTAGCACAAGGTAGGAGGAAATGCAGTAAGTTGTCATTGAATGAATGTTGAATGATCCTACAGAGGCGATAGAGGAGACAGGGGAAAGGGGTTAGGTTGTATTTATCAGTAATACAGTAGCTTTTTGTTGCTGGTGTTTGGGGTCTGCCAGGGAAGCCGTCGTAATGATGCGGCTGCTCCATTGACAGGGTCCAGGGAGGGGCTGGGAAGTCATGCTACTCACCTGAAAGGTGTTAGTGGAAGTACTGCCTCTTGTCAGACAGAAATACTGCCTGATTGAGTAGATACCATTTCTAATCTCCAAAATCATTTTGGTTTAAGGGACAAGTACCGGTACTTTGCTTGTTTGATGAGAGCTCGGTTTGATGAACATAAGAATGAAAAGGACATGGTGAAGGCCACCCAGCTGCTGAGGGAGGCAGAGGAAGAGTTCTGGCACTGTCAGCATCCTCAGCCATACATCTTCCCTGAGTCTCCTGGGGGTACCTCCTATGAGAGATACGAGTGCTACAAGGTAGGTGAGGACCAGCGGTGTCTCAAATCCCGAACCTCAGCCTTGGAAACCGCTTGCCCTTTTAGGGGCAGCTAGGACATTTCTTTCCTGACAGTTACACTTTTTTTTTTTTCAGTGTCAGTTTTCTCTCTCCCAGATGCCATCACGACTTTTCTTTCCCAATTCAGTGCCAAGGTGTTGCAGTAAACTTTCCGGCAAAGCAAAGTGCTAAAGGAATTGGTAAATAACTCATTTTTGGACCTTAAAGTTAACCAATTTCAATTGGTGCTTAGTATTCTAAGTGATATTTCCAAATAACATACAGCCACGTTGGATCTTTAGAGAACTCAGGTAGGGGAGGAATGATGCCAGTTCTCTTTGGACTGACCTTGCTGTTTTTCATCCCTAGGCTGTTTCACTCTAAGGCATTCTCCTTTTTCTCGGTCCTCTGCTGTTTTGCTTAGTGTCAGAAACAGTCTGATACTTCGAATGGTTATAAAAATGCACCTTGATTTTTGTCTTCTGTCTCTTGAGCAGGCCCTACCCTTGACATGTAAATGTGTACTGTGGAATGACGCCGTGATTTCCTCTCCTGACAGGTTCCCGAGTGGTGCTTAGATAACTGGCATCCTTCCGAGAAGGCAATGTATCCTGATTACTTTGCCAAGAGAGAGCAGTGGAAGAAACTGCGGAGAGAAAGCTGGGAGCGAGAGGTGAGTCTTGCCTGTGTTTTACCATGTAGTTTGGCCCACATGGTCAACACCTGGAAGGAGCTGAGGTTTGGTTCCCCACGTGCAGAGGTCCAGATTCCAGCTCCGACAGTTACTCTGGACCCTTGCCTCTCAGATATACATTCTCTTTCAAGTGTGTTAAATGTAACGTTTACAGCCATCTTAGAAATAGGTTAAAATGTGTTCCCTGGTCTTTGGGCTTTTTGTTCTCTGATTTTGCTTCTTCCCTCCTTCCCCTCCATAGTCCTCTGCCTGACCTTGCTCTACCCTACAGTCCCTTAACCTTCTCCACCAGCACCTTGGGTATTTTTCCACTCATGATGTCTGATTTATATTTTAAAAAAGTCAATCTTGCTGTAGTGTGAAAAATATATTGGATAGGGCAAGTGGAGAATTGGCGAGACCAGTTTGGGGTTATTGCAGTAGATTAGTCCAAAGATTATGGCAACTAGCACTAGGGTGGATGCAGTGGATATGGAAGGAAGTAAATTCAGGATATTGTCTGCAGGGGTGTGAAGAGGGATTGGATGGGGGGTGGGGGTGGTGGGTAGTGAAGGACAGGGAAGAATCAAGAATGATTTCCAGGTTTTAATCTTCAACATCTGGAGGATGGTTGTGGTGTTTATTGAGATAGGGAAGAGGGGAAAAAACAGATATCAAAGGGACAATCAAGTGTTCAGTTTTAAATGTTAAATTTACGAATGTTAAATTTGAGAATCCTGTGAGACATCAGGTGCGGGTGTCAGAGGGTGACTTTGGATGTACGAATCTGGAACTCAACTCAGAGGAGAGATTTGAGCTCAAAATAGAAATGTGGGAGTTATCAGTTGTTTTAAAAGCCACAGAATGAGGGTCTCTTCTGGGTGCCCTCTCCCCCGTAAAGGAAGTGGAGGGAAAGCCACAGAAATGTTTGAGATCCTTAGATCCAAGAGAATGGCTTCAGGAATGGCCGGGGGACTTCCCTGGCAGCCCAGTGGTTAAGACTCTGCACTTCCACTGCAGGGGACATGGGTTCGATCCCTGGTGGGGGAACTAAGATCCCACATGCTGTGCCACATGGCCAAAAAAAAAAAAATAAACAAGAATGGCTGGGGCCAAGTCATCTTTGATTTGATGGAATAGAGTGAGTACTAGAAATAACATCCAAAGGTTTTGGCTACAGGAAGGGCATTAGTGACCTTGATTAGAGCCATTTCTATCACACGAAGACTGATCAGAAGGTGAGGAAGAGTAAACAGGAGGGAGTGATGACTCTTGAGAAGATTTCCTGAGGAGAATGAAGAAATGGGGCAGTAACTGGAGGCCGGGGGATTACTTTCTTTTAAGATAAATGATGCGTATATGCTGATTAGATCTGGGGTGAGGGAGAAATTGGTAGTGCTGAAGAGAGGTGGAATAGGTATAGAAGGAAAGTTTTTGAGAAGAGGGGTGGGATCCCAAGCATGTGTGGGGGCCTTTGGAAGGAGAAGGGATTCTTCCTCCATTCTAATTGGACAAAAGATGTGTATAAATACATTTGGGTTAGAAGTTTTGATGATGGGGAAATGACAGACTTCGATGTGATGGCTTCTCTTTTTTAAGTGAAGTCAGGAAAAGCCAGGAAGTGGGCAAAGCATGTTTGGAGAATGTGGAAAAGGTGTGATAATCCTGGGCAGAGGATGAGCTTGCTGGAGAATAGTAGTAAGATTGCCACGTGGTGGTGAAGGCCCATGTGAAGTTGGGAATAATTAACATGTTGTGACACCAGTTTGTTCCAGTATTTTTTTTTCTTTTTAGCAATACTGAGCTGTATGGTTGCAGGTTTGAAGGTAGACGGTGTGGTTGTCCACTGTCAAGAGTGACGAGGAACTTATTTGAGAGGGAGTGATTGTCGTGATGGAATCTAGCTGGATAAAGGAGGGAAGTAGACAGGGAGGCTGATGCAGAAAGAAGGGCAAGTTGGGTGTGAGGACCTGTGAACTGGCAGCATCTGTGAGTTTCAAGAATTATTTTCAGGGGGCATTTAAGCAAATGAGCTGGAAGGGGACACTGGTTGGATAGTGGGTTACTTAGATTCATGATTTTGTGACCAAGGAGGGCAGTGTTTTCTAAGAAGTATGTCAGCATTTGGGAACTCAAGGCATATTGATTCATGGAGAGCAGCAGATTCATCCTGCAGTTGGTCACTGTGATAACCACTTCTCCCCAAAACATTCCTTCTTTACCAGTTCCGTCTCTTTGACATCATTAAACAGCACATGTGCTTGAGGCTCAGATTAGCCACAATCCAGAGTTGGTTTTTTTGGAGGGAGCTTCAAAAAATCATGGATCTGGAAAGTGGGTGTCTTAGGTCTCCTCCTCTATTAGGACAGTGATGGTCTTGGAGATCGCTGGAAAAGGGGTAGCTGGGCAGTGGGGGCAGAACTGAGCACACTTGTACCTGTGATTTCATGTTATTTCTTGTCCTTATTGCTATTTGGGGGGCTTTTAAATTAACATCCCTAATGTATTCAAATTGAAGCTTCTTAATAGTGCTTTTGGAGACCTCTTAGCTGAGACACAAAAATAAACATTTTGGGGGGGAAAGAGGTGGGGGAACCATAACAAGGGGGAATTGGAATGGTAATTGTCAGGGTTTTGCTTAATGAGTAAGAGGTGGGGTAGGAGGGTTTGTTCTCAGCATTGCTGTTTTAAGAATGGGAAAACATTTAAGGAGAACAGCTTTTGTGTCCGAGTTAAAATGTGGGCATAAAGATAATGCAGTTATAGAGTCCCTCCCATCAAGCCTCTAAAGATAGCCTCATCCACCGGAGGGCAGAGAGTAGAAGCAAGAAGAACTACAGTCCTGCAGCCTGTGGAACAAAAACCACATTTACAGAAAGATGACAAGATGAAAAGGCAGAGGGCTCTGTACCAGATGAAGGAACAAGATAAAACCCCAGAAAAACAACTAAATGAAGTGGAGATAGGCAACCTTCCAGAAAAAGAATTCAGAATAATGATAGTGAAGATGATCCAGGACCTTGGAAAAACAATGGAGGCAAAGATCGAGAAGATGCAAGAAATGTTTAACAATGACCTAGAAGAATTAAAGAACAAACAGAGATGAACAATACAATAACTGAAATGAAAACTGCACTAGAAGGAATCAGTAGCAGAATAACTGAGGCAGAAGAACGGATAAGGGACCTGGAAGACAAAATGGTGGGATTCAGTGCTGTGGAACAGAAGAAAGAAAAAAGAATGAAAAGAAATGAAGACAGCCTAAGAGACCTCTGGGACAACATTAAATGCAACAACATTCGCATTATAGGGGTCCCAGAAGGAGAAGAGAGAGAGAAGGGACCAGAGAAAATATTTGAAGAGATTATAGTCGAAAACTTCCGTAACATGGGAAAGGAAATAGCCACCCAAGTCCAGGAAGTACAGCGAGTCCCATACAGGATAAACACAAGGAGAAACACGCCAAGACACATAGTAATCAAATTGGCAAAAATTAAAGACAAAGAAAAATTATTGAAAGCAGCAAGGGAAAAACGAAAAATAACATGCAAGGGAACTCCCATAAGGTTAACAGCTGATTTCTCAGCAGAAACTCTACAAGCCAGAAGGGAGTGGCATGATATACTTAAAGTGATGAAAGGGAAAAACCTACAACCAAGATTACTCTGCCCGGCAAGGCTCTCATTCAGATTCGATGGAGAAATCAAAAGCTTTACAGACAAACAAAAGCTAAGAGACTTCAGCACCACCAAACCAGCTCTACAACACATGCTAAAGGAACTTCTCTAAGAGAAGAAAAGGATCTACAAAAACAAACCCCAAACAATTAAGAAAATGGTCATAGGAACATACATATTGATAATTACCTTAAACGTGAATGGATTAAATGCTCCAACCAAAAGACACAGGCTTGCTGAATGGATACAAAAACAAGACCCACATATATGCTGTCTACAGGAGATCCACTTCAGACCTAGGGACACATACAGACTGAAAGTGAAGGGATGGGAAAAGATATTCCATGCAAATGGAAATCAAAAGTAAGCTGGAGTAGCAATACTCATATCAGATAAAATAGACTTTAAAATAAAGAATGTTACAAGAGACAAGGAAGGACACTACATTAAAAAAAAAAAAGATAATGCAGGTATATACAAACAACACTTTACAGTAGTGAGGATCAGGGTGTGTCATGTGACACAGTAGAAACAATGCCGACACTTCCCTGTAGCAGAGAGATTGGACAGTCAGTTCAACTCCTTTTCTAATTGTTCCTTCCTTACCCCCCCTTCTAGGTTAAGCAGCTGCAGGAGGAAACCCCGCTTGGTGGTCCCAGAACTGAAGCTTTGCCCCCAGCCCGAAAGGAAGGTGATTTGCCCCCACTGTGGTGGCATGTTGTGACCAGGCCCCGGGAGCAGCCCATGTAGAGAAAGAGAGGAAGATGCCTCACCAGTCCCGCTCGCAAGTGAAATAAGTTACAGGACATACACTCGCCCTAATAAAATAACTCCATATGGTATGGCTGACGTGTTCTTCTGAAGAGTAACGTGATGCCAGGTGACTGGGCCACTGTCGTTTTCTTAGCAGTTGTGCATATAAAGAAAAGTACCTGAAACGTAGTCAGATGTATTCTGTTCTTGCCCATTAAGTCATACTGATAACACATGAAATCGAGGGAAAACTGCAGCAGAACCAGATACAAGGTTTACTCTGAAGATTTAGTTGAACAAACTTGAGTTGAAGGCTTAAACTAGCTATGGTGACTGGAGGGCATAAGAAGCCAAGAAGAGTCACGCCAATACTGAGGACATGAGATACCTTTTCTGTTTTCTAGATTCCACTAATGGAATTTTAGCTCTGATTAAAGGACTACTCTAAGAAGCACGCATTCAGCAAATAAGCATGGAGTTCATGGGGTTCTCAGGAGTGGAGTTTGATGGCATCCAATGTGGATGACACTTTGGTGACACTTATTTTGGAGGCAGTTTTCCAGCTTTGCTCCCTCTACCGTAGCTTGGATTGTCTGTAGACACAAAGGTAAGGGTAGCAGAACTCTAAATGTTTGAAGTTTCTTTTTTTAAGGGTAAAGCCATTTTTAAAGCTCAACCAAGCCCAGCTAGTTTTAGTTCTTGGTAACTCACTGTTCAGGCAACTAGTGTTCTTAAAATGCACAAAAATGATGTTGTCAGCTTTCTAACTAAGCTCAATCTGGGTCTCAGTCCATTTTCTAACACTTCACTAAGACCTCCACCTGAATTTTAATAAGACTTGAAATGCAGGGCTTTTTTTTTTCTAGTGGTTCTTTATTTATAATGTAGGCTGAAGCAACTGATACAAGGTAAAAGGGAGACACGTTACACAATTGTTATTTATACAAGTTTAGAACAAAAAACTGCACAGGGAGAGGTCAACTCTCAGTACAAACTAGCAACTAAACCACAATAATTTACCTTTAGAAATGATTTCTTTATTTTTAGCTGTGACACTGCTTTTACAATATGCAAAAACACAAACAGAACTACCCAAGGCGTTTTGTCACATTCTTTCTACATTGAATTTGGCAACATTTTATATTAAATTTATTCAGATTATACTAACGTTTAAAAACTAAACAAGTGAAAAGCTGTACCAAGGTACAGTTACATCCATTTATTTGAAAGGTCTAAAATATCACTTTTATCTATCGTAATTACCTTGCAGTGATTTCTGCTTTTGCAAAAACCATCTCAAGCATCATATGCACAATGCATCAGCTACTTTTAGTCATCAGGATTGGTGGGCTAAACCACAGGCACTACTGTTGCTTATATTCTGTAAATGGAGCTTGTTTTTCAAAGAAAAAAGTTTAAACAGTTTCTAATAATCATGCCTTTGCTTGAAAGCCGTAACGTAAAACGTTTTTGAGCAATCACAGCAGTGTTAAATGTTAACATAGAGAACACTGACTATACAGGTACGTTTCTTTCACATCCAGTGCAGTTACGTATTAAAGCAGAAGATTATGTAATTGAAGAGTGGAGCCAACAGAGATCTGCAGGACCCGCCAGGCTCCTATTCCTTGAGAGGTTCGGTCCCAAACGAGCACTTTCAACTGACCCGAAGGGGCTGGCTTTTTAAAACACCATTGCATTCCTCAAACGTGGTCCCTTTAAATCTACACATCTCTGCTGGCTTTAGGGGATGGGCATTATAACAAATTTAACTTTCACTTAGAAAAGACAGAAATCCATTCCAAAAAACACTGCCTAGAATACAAAAAAAAAGGGACAGTATGGTGGTCAGATTCCCAGTGACAGAAATAAATCCTCCTCTCTTCGATGTTTAGTGTGAAGCCAATTAACTGCCATTATTTAAAAGAAGATAAGAAAAACAAGCCCCCAGACTGGTAAACACATTGGCAAGTTGCCAGACTCCAAGCTGGTTACCCTTGTTAAATCCGCTCCAGTTTTTCCAAAATATTTGGGCTTTTCAACGCGCCCAGCCTGCTAGGCACGGTTAAGTAAAAGGCATTTGCTATCTATCTCTAAGATTCCCTGCTATTAAACATTTTTAAATGTTTGTTTTCACATTTTTAAAACCGCCTTACCCTTCTGGATGTGTTTGGATTCAGTGAAAGTGGGTATAACTAACAGACAAGTAACTGAAGTGGGGGGGTTCTATGTCTACCCGGTGGCGGCAGCATGCACGGGACTGGAGGTGGGTGCTGTGTGCAGTCAGGAGCGATCGTGGGAGAAAGGAAGTCCTTAAACACCCTGCAGAAACAAACACTGCAACCCAGTGTGGCTTATTCGGATGCATTTACCATGAAGCTACTAGAAATTCAACCTACGAGGCTACTCTTAAATGTAACAGGATCGGCTGTGTTGACAGTGTGCCCCTCCCGCGCCCCTCCCCCCAGTCCCAACACAGCCTCTACCATTTCCAGAGTTCCCTCACTCCTAATGTTGCGCATGAGCTGACTCCCGCTTTCCTCATTCCGAAGGTAGTATACTTGAAGAAGGATTTTTACCCCTTACCCATTTTGTTTGTTTGTACATTACAATAACTTGAATTTGTGTCTAAGCCAGACTACTACAGTGCATCTACAAAAGCTTGCAGGAAAGAAAAGAAAAAAAAAAGCTAAGTATAGTTATCCTTTTTTCTGAAATTACTACTTCGTGGTTCCCCTGCCCGACCTCCCCCCCTTATTATGCATTTAAAATTTTACAAAGACTTGTAAAAAATGGAATTTGGCACCTTCAGAAAAATCAAAAGGGAAACTTAAAATTAAAATGTGCAGAAAGAAAACTCAATATTTACAAATTAAAAGATCAAGGTTATGTCAGTTACATATGTTGCTTTTAATTCTTATCTAAAGGTGTCGAGTACTTTCAAAAGAGCTGTGTTCTGAGTTGCCTACAAAATCTTTTGTTTGATTACAGATTGGAATGGATCAAGACAAACTAGGTCTATTAATTAGACAGTTCGTTCCCCACTGGCAGCATTTCTTGTGAGCCTAAGAGAGCCTAAGTGAAGCGCGGGGCTGAGCGGTCGTTTGTCGTGGTCTTCTTCAGTTTCACGCCCCTGCGGATGGCGTTCAGCATGTCTTCTCCTTGCGGGGCATCCCTTGGGCTCAGGTCTGCAGGGTCACTCTCTGGAATCTGGCCTGGGGAGGCAGTGGCACTTGGGGGATCCCTTTCCTGGTCTTCGGCCTCGCTTTCTGGAATTGCTTGTCTGTGCTCCTCGGGGATGCTCGGCTTCGGGCCTGGAAGAGGAGGGTTGACGGAGGCTTGGCCGCTCCACATTGAGGAGGGCATGCTGGTGCCACCCTGGGGGCCCTCACCCATGGACGGCGACTCGGGGCTGTGCTCACCCCGCTCCTCGGGCCCATCTGGAGGGGCTGACAACACCCCAGGGAGGTCTGGGACGGTGGGGGTCTTGACAGGGATCACAGGTGTTTTGATGGGGATGGGACCAGCTCCTATGGTCCCCCGGCGGACAGAAGGCTTGGTGGAAGGGGTCCGTCGGATGGTTGCAACCCCTGGGGTGACCATAGCAGGTCCGAGGGTGGTGGGGAGGCCAGCAGTTGAGGCTGGGCGCTTCGCTTGGAACATCCGTCGGTAGGACTGGCTGATGTCGCTGTTTCTCGGAATGGTGGAGGATTTGTCAAACTCCTGCTGATCTGCCTCCTGGTCACCACTTACAGAGAAATAATCGTAATCTGAAACTGATCATAGGATCCGATTAGAAATCTAATCGCCGAGGCAGTGGCTGTGCTCTTTGATTCTTTTGTGTTGGGAGGACAAAGGGCCCCAGAGGCCAAGTACTTCACCCGCAATCTCATCCCAAGCCTTCCGGGGTTTCCGGGCCAGGCTTAGCAGCCCTCACCATCTAAGAACTCCCTGACAGGGACCGTCGTTTCGTTCACCAAGGGAACGCTCAGCACCAAGAGCAGCGCTGGACACAGCAGGCCCGCACTCAAACACCGCTGAGCGGTGAAGAATGCAAAACCGCCAGGCCGCAGCGAGGCTACCTCTGAGCACCTCTGGGAGGAATAAAGGGGGTGGCAAGAGGAAATAACCTCTACAAGCCCTCCAGCCCAGAATTTGACATGAGAGACAAACCCCACAAGGACCATCACAGACCTTACTACCTCCCTCATGATCAACTCGTTAGGCGAGGGCTAGAAAAGCAATGGAGCAACTGGTAATGAGTCTCCGAAAACAAGGCAGAGACAGGTTCCATCAGTGAGGGGTGCTCACTTTCTCTCCAAAAATGGGGTCACGTGGGAGGGGGAAGCATACAGACTGAACATCATAGAGCTCGTTTCTGAAGAGCAGCGCTCTGACATTCGGGTAAGTTCTGTGTGGTGGGGTGGAGCTGTGTGCTGTATGAGGGGGTGGTCAGCAGCGTCCCTGGCCATCTACCAGATGCCAGCGGCACGCCCTCCAGTTGTGACCATTAAAAATGTCTCTAGCCGTTGCCAAATGTCCCCTGGGCAGCAAAGTGGCCCTCCACCGAGACCCACTGTCCTAGAGACTTGGACTGAAGGACTGCCGACAGGCTTGGTCAGCTCTCATAGATCTTTCCTGGCGGCTGGCCTGCCATCTTGCTGGCTTGTGTGTGTGTGCTGGGGAGGGCGGTGAGGGAGGCAAGTTCATAGAGAATTTGGCTGGAGTTTGGGCTTCAGACTCTGACAGACCTTCGACTCAAACTCCAGCTCTGCTGCTTATTGTGTGAACTTGGGCCTCAGTCTCCATGTATGTAAAATGGGGATAAACAGACTTATGACATAAACGATTGTGAAGAATTAATGGGAAAATAAGGTGCTTGGTACAAAGTGCTAAACACAAATGATGTTATCATTAACAGCATCTGTCTGCCTTCAAATTGGGACATCCCTGTAACCCTGATGGTGAGAAATCAAGTTGTGAAATCTGGCCACTTTGCTGCATGGCAGTGACCCGACAACTACAGACGAGCCCTCCAGAGCATTCCAAGATGCTCTACTGTGGCTGGACGGACTCCCGCACGTCTGCCTCCTCCCAGCGGGGAGGGCCCCCTTCCTCACCTGGCACTGCTCAGGAAGCCCGGCTGGAAAGCTCAGGCTCTCCTACCTTGGGAGGGGATGGTGTCCTCAGAGCAGCAGGGGGTGGTGGTCTGGGTGCTGTAGCCGCTGGAGCACTGAAGCGAGTCCCGGCTGCTCCTCTGGGTGTCAAGCTGGAGGCCCCGAGACAGGGCCAGGGCCAGTTCCTCACAAGCCTCCATCTCCTCTCCAGGCTGCAGGTGGGAGGAGAGAGACAGATGAGCCACCGGGGCCGCGAGTCCCCTGTCTGATACCCCCAGAGCCTTTCTGCACTCCTCGTCCAGTGGGGGCCTCAACAGGACTCCTATTCTGCTCCCGTGACCGCCACTGTCTGTGGGGCCAGGGGGCCGCCAACTTGCTTGGACCCTACCCAGGCTCTAGAAAGTTCTAGAGTCTAATTTCCATACAAGACCTTCCCTGGGGGCCTTCTAAACGCTGTAGCAGGGAGTAGGGGAAAGGGGCTCGGATCCCTCCAGTTGCTGGCCAGCACGTGGCCCCCGCCAGGTCTCGAGGGGCCCAGCCAGCTGTAGAGAACAAGAGCGTCACCCTGGCGGCGGCCGACACGGTCATGCTCCGCGGCCTCTGAGCCTCCTCGGCAGCGGTGGGCGTGCCTCCCACTGCGACGGAGCCTCCACCGCTGGGGTCTGGCTCTCGCTTGTCTTTGCGGCGCTGAAGGGTGTTCACCAGAGGCTGATCGTAAGGTCCTGGCTTGGCCCAGTCCTAAGTGGAACAAGTGTGGTCAGGTGCCAGGGCCTCTGCCTCCACTAGGAGGCCACAGAAGCCTCCAGACAGCTGCCCGCCCACAGAAGGTAGCTGGTCCCCTCGGGGGAAGCTCAGGCTGGGACAGGCCAGCAGCCCCTCCTCTGCCCTCACCCGGCACTAGAAGAAGGGAGCAGAAAATCCTCTGGGGGTCCCCTGGGTACCTGCCCTTTCCTCACATCCGCCCAAAGACTGAAAACCCGCAACAACGGGGCAGGTAGCCTGAGGGAGACTCTTAGTTACAGCCATCAAACAACTGACCAACTGCCTACGGTGTCTGAAAGCACCGGCCAGTGGAGAGCACATCCCCAGGGACCAGGCCCTCCCTTCCCATGTCTGGGGCCCCCCGCTGGGGCCTAGCGGCTCAAATGACCTCACTCGCCTGGAGTGGCCACCAGGGAGCGCTAAAGGGACTTCAGCCACTCTCCCTGAGGCTGAACCTCACTTCCGGGAAACCACCCCAAAGGGCGCTTCAGGATGTGCTCTCTGAGGTCCTCACAGAGGAAGGGAAGGCCCCTGGGCCAGAAGAAAGATTCTGAGGGGTCCACACCACTTGTGAGGGAGGCAGTCAAGGCCTGCTAGAGATGGCGGGTCGCCTAGGGGCCTACTATTCAAGTTAGGGACCTCCTCTCCAAATAAAGGTAGAATATCCTGGCATCAATCAGACTTGATAGGAAATAATATAAAAACTTTAAGTTTTTATATTAAAGCAAACATGTTTTAAGACTAAAAATAAAGTCTGCAGGTACTTTTAAGATAAAACATAGTAAGCCAAACCATATTTTGGGGCATGGTTCTGTTACCATGGCCCAGTAAGGGTTCAAGGGAACAGTCTGGGGAACATGGCCGAGGAGGAGAGTCCCTCCCTGATAACAGTGACACCCTCAGGAAACCCCCAGGAGGGCAGAGCTTGGACTTACAACTTGGGAGCGACTTCCCTGCAATGCCGCATCTGGGTCTACTGGGGTCTAACAGGGGTTAACTGGTGTCTCCTAAAGGGAGCTCCTCCAATCTCAGCTCCGTGTGGACATACCCGTCTCAGCGCTGCCTGCTGCTTTCCGGTTCTCCCCAGTGGGAATTTACTTAGGGAGGAGGTGTTATGGGGAAGAAGGCAGAGTGTGAGAGGAAAGGGGTGGGGTGGGGTGGGGTGAGAATCGTGGGGCAGCAGTGGGGTGAGCACAGAGGCAATGAGGGACGGGGGAGAGGGCAAGAGGAGGGCGGAGAGACACAAACCTTCCAGCTAGGGATCTGAGATGACGGGAACATGCCGGGCCCAATGGTGTAATAATGAGCGTAGTCTGGAAGGTGGACAGAGGTGGCCCGAGGGAGCAGGCGGGAGGCGGGCAGGCAATGAGGGGAAAGGCTCGCCCCTACGGGCCCCACGTGGGGCTCGCTTGATAAACTATAGTGAGAAAACCCGTTAGACAACTGGAAACAAACAAAAAAAGGGAGGAAAAAAGGGAAAAAAATTAATATAAGAGGATGAGTGTGGAGATACAAGATGGCATTGACATTCAAGAGACGGGGGAGATCTGAATATTTGCAAATAAAACAAACATCAGGGCTCTGCCACTCATGGATGGTCCAGGATGCGAGAGAAAAGCGCTAGCTACGGTGCGAACAATGCCTGCATATTTGACACCAAGTATTCAGTTGGGGAAATATTTTATCTACATTTTAGAATAGTTTGGAAATGATCCGTGTCCCTAATGTGTGGTGCTCTCAATGGTTTTCGATTATTTCACTAATAATTTCACAGTGACGGTGATTCGCTCATCTCATTGTGCAAATTTTAAAATTCAAAAGCGTCAACTGAAAGCTGTTCATTCCAGGTTTCCAAAATCATCACTGTTCAGCAGATTCCAAATCAGGGTGTAGGGTGGGGTGATGGCAACTAAAAGGCAGGAAAGCACACAGCCTCTGACGCAGTGAAGTGTCACATCCAAGGGCACGGTGAAGAGGAGGCCATGGTGGGTGGGGCGAAGGGGAAGGGAAGGGGGGAAGACGGATGACCATCCATGTCCTGGGAAGAAGCCTTCACACCTGCGAGTTCCCCATACCCCTTCCTCTCCCTCTGGACGACCGCAGAGTCACTGCTCAGGGCCAGGCACCCATTCTGGAAAAAGCCCTCAGTCCTGTCCCTCCCTCTGGCCCAAGAGGGGCCACGCTTGGTGGAGATTTTGAGTTTCTAGGTTCCTGCGGCTGTGCGGGGAGCAGCTGGCAGGGGATGGGGGAGAGGCTGGGACCCCAGCTGGTCACCTTCTCTGTGGATGCCCAGGCGCCCATGGTGGAGCCTGAGCTGACTGAGGTAGGCGAGCTGCACTCGCTCACGGACTGGCAGGTTTCCGAGGCTTCAGAGGAGGCCGAGCTGGACGAGTTCTGCAGCCGGGGAGGGGCCACACACCACCAAAAAAGGACGGTCATAAAAAATAAAAAGATGGGGGGGGCAGTAGGGGAGAAGGGCACGCACGGAGAGACAGACATGCATACAGAAGAGGGAAAGATGAGAGAAGCAGAGGGTTAGGGTTATTTTTTCCCCTGAAGCTGCACCAACACAGAGGCCTCCAAGCCCTGGAAAGGAAGCATGAGACCCAGCGAGCCCCAGACCTGCCGGACTGCAAGGCCCCCAGAACCCCGCCATCTGTGTGTGTGCCTGGCTCAAGGGAGTGTGGTCAAGGCGCTGGACTCCCTGCGTTCTCTAGGGCCTTTCTTCCTGTGCCATAGGCCCAGGGCCCAAGGGATGCCATGACTTTTACATCTCTCAGGTGTCCGGGCGTTATTGCAAGAGGACTGACCCCCAACTTGGGTTTTTGCTCCATGTCTGCCTAGAATGGCTCTAATTCCTGGACACTCTTCCTTCGTCCCATGCAACCTCTGGATGTGGGTGGCTTCCAGCTATGAAGCTGCATCTTCACAAGACATGATTTTAGGTCTCTCTGCCTGGGGAGTGATTCTGAGGTTTGAGGCAGTGAATCCCAGCGGTTAGGGCAATGTTTCCAGTGGCCGCATAGGGAGAGATGAAGCATCCTGGCGAGCTCTGGGACATCACGGAAAGGAGGTCTGGCTTGCGAAAACATCTCTTCAGCCTGATTTTATTAACCATCCAGTCCCTGCCAGTCTCCCGGTGTCGGCCAGGGAAACCGCTCCCAGCTCCTAACCTTCGGCAGAGGCAGAGACTGCCTGTTAGCTCACCACTACATCGCGACGTTCTGGTCCTGTCCTGGCATGTGGCAGGTGTTTAAAAGTACTGAATGGATGAGTGACAATGACCATCTCTTCCATGTAACTGGGTCCCCCAGGATAGTGCTTTGGGCCCACCCAGGTATCTGCTTTAAGTTTTCTTCACTGTTAACTGCAATCTCATCCCATTTGTATAAGGAAGTCTGTGCCTTCTCTACTATTTCCCTGGAAGTGTCCCTGTATTCACTGGCAAGGAGGCCAGATCTGTGTTTCTGTCCACCCCTTTCACCCGCCAAAGAAAGGTTCCTACAAAAGGACAGATCCTTAGCCTCCCATCCTGCAAGAGCAAGGAACTGAAAAGGCATTCCACAATGCATGCAGCTCCGAGGAGCCCAAGCAAGGCCAGGCCCCGTGGTGGAGTTTCTGGCCACTTCCCCAGCTTGGTGTCTGGTTAGCCATCCAGGATCTGAAGTCTGAAGGTTCAGATTGAAGTCTTTTTTCTGCCACGTCCCAGTCAAGGAACCATGGACTTAATCTCTCTAAACCTCAATTTTTTTTTCATCTTTAGAATAGGGATTAATAATATCTATCAGATGAAGATCAAAGGAGATCTTGTGTGTGTGTACCTCTGTAAATAGAGCTTAATCAACTATAAATAAAAATCAGTTATCACTGTAATTTACCAGGACTATTTATTTTGGTTCCTGTAACTCAAATATGTTCAATTTGAAAAAAGAACCAGTAAATCACCCCAGGACTGCAGGTTCGTATTTTGTTTTGACTTCTACTCATTTTTTTCCTGAAGAACTCCTTGCCTTGATGGAGTGAATGGTTCTAGGCAGGAGCCTAGCTGCACACGTGGTCCATGACTCCTGGGCACACATGGCACAATTTGAAAAGAGCAGAGTGGAGGAAAACGGGAGAATTCTGAACACATCCTGCCACGTGGCATCCATTTGCATCAGTGTACCTGAGGGATCGCCCCCTTTCGGACGTTTGCTTCCTTCCTCCCACCCAAATTAAGGTAACACTACTTCCTCCAGGAGATTGTACCCTCTGGCCTGTGTGATGTGTACAATTTCCTTAAATTTCCCCTCTGCCTTAGAAGCAGCTGTAATGCCTTTTTTAAAAAATAGAATTCTCAATTAAATTTTGCAGTATCCCTGAGTTTATTAAAACTGCCCTGGAGTTGCTAGTCAAGCATATCTTGGGTACCGGCTTTCAGATTTCAGTAAATCCCAACAAGCTGCCTTCCGCTTCCCTCGACACTACTGGAGACAGAAAGCCCGCTTCATTCAGCCTGATCCACACACGCACAGCAAGGCTGGAACACACAGCTTCTTTTTTTTAGAAAGCAGTGTCAGTGCACAATACTTTGTTAATGTGTCAGTTGTTAAAAACACACACAGAATGACGCTGCACATTAGAACTGCAAATCCCTGCTCCCCCTCTGACCACGCTCACTCTGCTTGCAAGACATGCAGGTGCTGTTTAGCGCCACACATAGTGGGGACGGACAGGGGACAGGTGGTGACCCCTCAGAGACTGAGCCAAAGCACCCCAAGCACATCAGGACTTAAAGCTGCAGCTCCTGGCTCCAAGCGTTTCCATTCGAAATTGAGTGTCGACCCCAGGAAGACAGAGAGAGGCCACAGTCCCCGGGGACGGCTGTAAAATGCCAAAAGGAGCACCGGGCTGAGCAGCTCTGGGTTCACCAATGTCAGCCATGTCAGGCAAGTGACCTAGGCTCCCAAAACACCTCAGATGCTTCTTCTACATAGAGTGCTCCCCGGAGCACTCTGCCAGGGGCACCTTATGGCCAGGGCGGTGCAGAAAGGGTGCTGGACCAGTTGCCAGAAACCCTGGTTCCAGATCCTCAACCTGCAGGTCACATAACTGTGCAACTCAGGCAAATGGCGTTACATCTCTGAGCCTCCATTTCCACACAAAACAGGGGTAGCAACACTCTGCGTGGCTGTTGGCAGGACTACACAGTTAACACCGGCAGAAGCTCCTAGGATGGTGCCTGGCACACAGGAGATATTTGGTGACTGTCAGGCAAATTGGATACCTGGATGAACAAGACAAGCACGTGACCTTCTGAATCCCAAGGATCTTGAACCAAAGGCTGTGGTCAGCCTCAAAATGTACACGATGGGCTCGGAGCCACCATGCTCCCCAGCAGATGGTGCTGAGAGGCACCCTGGAGGTTCATGTTTCCCAGTGTCTATAGGTCAGGTCGTGCTGCTTATTAACCTAGAGGCCAACCCACTGGCACAAAAAGGACAGAGAGGAGCAGGTGAAGGGTGTTCCAATGCCCAGATCCTGCCTTCTGCTCTGGCTGGACCCATTGGGCTGGGCGCCTAGCGCCATCTAACCCAACTGTGGTCAGAGACTCAACACCTCCCCTTCTCCCAGGAGCAAGGTGCCAACAGAACTACCTGCATGGGCTCTGAAGATGCTTTCTCATTCTCAACACAAATTGATAAAACGAAGCTGAGAGTGCCAGGGCAGGTCTCCAAGGCACTGTTCAGTGACAGAATCTCCACCCCCATTGGCAAATGCCCATTAATTACTACATCACGCTAAGCCGGGCACTTACAGGGATGCCAGGGAGTGGCCAAACGTCTTTGAGTCTGTGTACATGTGAAAACTCCCCAAATCAATGCAGTGACTCAACCATCACCGGCATAATGATCGTAAGCTTCAACCCCCCACTTACGGTATCTCTCCCTTTAGGAGAGCAGCTCCTCTAGAGATGAGAAATTAAACCAGAGGTTTCCCGTCAGAAGACAGGGGTCTGTCCAAGCCCAGGTCCCTCTCTGGTTCCAGCCACTGAGGGTGGTCCAGACCCCAGGTGCTGTGGCTGCTCCAGGAGCCAAGGACCCTTACCTGGTTGGGGGCCTCCGGCGGCATGGGGGATGGCGACTTGGACTGGAAGGCGTCCTGGGAGATGAACCCTGAGTCATGGGAGGACACGCTGGACAGCCTCACAGGCGCCTGCTGGGCCAGGCTGGAGCCGCGGTAGCGGTAGTGGGAGCTGGGCGAGTGCGAGTGGGAGCCGTGGGAACCGCTGGACCGCGAGTCGCTGCTGTTGACACTGTTCAGGCTGCTGCGGGGGCAGCGGGGGAAGGGGGACAGACGACATGGGACGACAGGGGAGAACGACATCATGCAATCAGCCCCCGGCCCCAAGAAGCAGTGCAAACGGCGAGCCATGTTTTCTAAACACCCAATCATTAAGCTAGTAAACAAAAGTGTTTTCCTGTGAGCAAGGGGGGGCGGGGAACACCAGCCACAGAGACTCAGTTCTCCGACGGCACAACGAGGCGTCCTTAGGATGGAGGCCTGTGATTCTAAAGCTCTGCTCTGTCACCTGCCACCAAAGCCAGGGGACCCGATGTCCGCGGCACGAAAAGGGCTCATCTCATCTGCTCGCAACAACTATGACCCTGAAGCCAAACCGCTAAGGCTTCAGCATGACCCGGCTGGAACACCCAAGCATCTCCTTTCGATGGACCATCTGGGTCCAGGAGACCAAAGTCAACCCGGCCAACCATCACTCGGCACCCAGAGACCCCTCAAGGAGTCCCCCGTACAGAATATCAGCAAATCGACTCTCTTTGTGTCCATGTGTTTTACATTTTATTTACAAAGTTGGTGCTTTAATGAATGGCTTGACCCTGAACACAGGTGTTTCTCTGTTAAAATATCTGTGGGCCCGGCAAACAGAACACCAGGCAAGAGGCAGGCAGCTTTCAGGGACTAAAGGTCATCAATCTAAGCTGTTTGCTTCCAGGATGGAACAGTAAACAGGATTTCAGAAAATGACACATGCCCTCTGGTGTTCTGTCTGCGTTCCATTTCCAGTCGTAAGAGACAGGTCCTACACTCTTGTCTAATCACTCAGATTACAAAACCCAGAAAACTGGACAAAGTCTTGTGGTCCAAACAAGCAGAGATGACATACAAGAGCAGCTGTAGAAGCACCAGAAGGCGTGATATAAACAACCCAGCCTGGGATTAGGATGTTTGTGGTTTCTGCTCCTAAACCCGCAAGAGATTCTTGTCAAATTTTGCAAACTCGGACAGCTAATAAGGTAGTCTAGGGCTGCGTGACTGTTCTATACCAGAATTACTTGTTCCAACAGATATAGGGCAGTGTGCTGGAGGGAAATCACTGGGGACATTTGCCAGGGATAATTATGATTTTTTGCTTTTCCCCCAGTCAGCCAGAGGAGGGCACTTGGAGACTGACAACAAAGCTCATTGCAATTCCATTGCAGCAAGCTCAGAACTGGTGGTGTCCATGTGACATGATTTTCTCTTGAAACTAAAACTGTAGAAAGAAAAGATACTCATGCAGCTTTGTTTTACACTAATCGAGATAAAGTTTTCTTGGTTACCAAACAAAAAACGTCCTCAGTAAAAAACTTAAGTAGATGTGTCATACACACGAACACACATACATCGCACAAAGGATGACAAGAAACCAACATCTTCAGGTTGCTGAACGTCAGGATAAGCATCTTAAGTCTGAACTTCCTGCTCCGTGTACACTGCACAAGCTCAAATATGAAATGAAACACACACACACATGTGTAGAGAGATATTACCAGACACAGATTCGGCAGATCCATCCTGCTCTTTACTCTCAATGCTAATTCACAGGAAGTGGAAATTCATTTGGCTTTGAAAAGTCAAAGAAAATGATTAGCAGGTGAAGTGTACCAAGAAAGGAATGATGCACGAGGATGTTTCCACCCTCACGGGAAGAGAATAAACTTGGCGGTCAGCAAGCCAAGAATGGTGCTCAACAGAAAACTGCCAGGAAACAGCGTTGCCAATGGCAGAACTATTCCAATGGATTCTCACTGTGAGTCACTAGGTAGCGCTAGTGCTTCACAGGGCAGTGATGGGAGTGGTGGGAGTGGTTAACAGATCAAGAATTCTATCTACTTTATGAAGCCCTGAGACCAAAATTGGGGGGCAAATGAGGGCACGAGCCACTGTTACTGCCTTCACTTGTTCTGGCGACAGCAAGATGAGTCTGCACAAGAATCAACCTCTGTTCGCCCTTTTTTTTAGCCCATGTGCTTCTTACTCTGCTAAACAGGAAGATCCAATGCGAATTCGTAAGATGGGAAAATCCGTACAACGTACATTGAGTGAGAGAGCTGTGGCCACTGGTCTAAGACCTGATGGGATTTTCCTTATGACCCAAAACTAATCCAGAGACTAAAGAGTGAGACCAAAATCATGATGGGATCCTTTCACCTGATCACCATTTCCTATTTCAGATGAGCCATTTTAGCGCTCAAGACTGACTCTAATGCTCACATTAGCATAAAGAAAAATGCTGTGTCCCTAAAGCAGTGGCCCAGCCCGGCCTCACTTACCTGCAGACGCTTGATTTGCGGGACATGGTGGTGCTGGGGGAAGAGGGTGGAGTCTGGTACGACCAAGTATAATCAGAACCTTTCAAGTCCAAAATCACCTGAGGGGACAGAGCCAGGAGGGTGAGCGGGGTGTCGAGAAGCGAAACATTATCTGTCCAATCTTAACAGCCATCATAACGTCGAAATTCTGCCATCATCGAGGAGTGGGGATCAAAGGAAAACATGTCGTGAAGACTTCTTTTTTAATTAAAGAATCATAGTACCAATCCATCAACATCACAGTCCTTTTTCTGAGACAAGCAAAAATATAATTAATGCGAAGAGGGGAGGAAAACCATGACATATCCGTCAGAAAAGAAAGAGAAAGATTTACAGTTAGTTACGTTAACAATTGATAAGAGCCACTTACACCCAAGGTTAGAATTTATAGGGTTTTTGCTTACACCGCCGCACAGACAATAATGGTTTCAGGATGTGCTGATCTTATTACATCTTAGCTACCTGATACTCAGTGGTCACTTGTGCCCTGTTTGTCCCTTAAAACCTGACAGAATCAAGAGAAACCAATTCTTTCACAATTACTTCTACATCTGTCTCCCTCACTTGACAAAGAGCTGTTTGAGTATAAGGTCTACCTTCCATTCATACAGTAGGTGCTCAATAAATGTCTACTTACTGAGTGAATGCCTGCAGGCTATAGTCTGATAAACACAATTTCATAGGATGGAAAATATAAGCTCCCAAATTTGTCTCCCTAGTTGGCGCCCAAGGCAGTGATAAGAATTTTATACAAAAGGCAAAGGCCAGCACATGATTTATCACCTGTTCACTCAAATATGTCTCTTCCCACTGGATACAGTGTTAATGTCACATGAACCAAATGAATCAACATTTTAAAAGTCACCTTTTTGATAAGAGAAATCCTCATGCACTACATACTTAGCATGGGAGAAATTCAGTGAGAATGATTCACAATGATGACCAAGATACACCACTGTCATGTCCCTAGCAGAGTTTATTTCTAGAGGGTCAGTGAACACATGGTTAAGAGCATGGGTTCTGGAAATTGACAGCTTGGTTTAAATCCCAGTTCTACCAGTAACTACCTGATTAAGTGACTTTATCTCTCAGTGCCTCAAGGTCCTCCTCTGTAAAATGGGGATAATAGTAGAGGAAGTCTATGTGAAGAGCCTAGAGCAGAGCCCGGCACCCAGCAGGTGCTGTATAATGACTAAGGAAGATGATTACCATGCTTCACAGTGTAAAACATGAATGTTATTCAAAATGAGATATTGCCGCAAGGAACCCTCAGGGCCTTGAACCTTTGTCTCTTTGGCTTTCTCTCCCACGCTTACCCCTTGACTCCTACCTGTTCACTTGAAGAGGGCAGTTTGTGAGGGTCCATGGTCAGGCTTTTCAGATCTTCTGATATGGTCTGCAGGTGAGTTATTTCCCCTAGCATTGAGATTTCTTCTTCCTGAAAGTAATTCACAACCTGTTATGAGTGATTCACTTTATCATCTTGATCCAACTGTTTTTATTAGGGACACCATCCAACACTTTCAGCTTTTCAGAAAAGGCATGCAGGGACTGATGCGTCTTTGCCGAAGCTATTACCAGCCCTTTTTTGGAGGAAGTGGAGAGGAAAACGAAATCAGCCATAATCATGGAGAGACTTGTGCACCTGGGACAGGGGTGAACGAGCCACAGCCAACACGTGGGCCTTCCTCGAAGTGTCTGGGGGCTGGCGGGCCTGCTAGGGTGGTCCGCCTGTGTGTCCTCACGGGATCCTGCAGCACAGCCCCTCTGCAGGCCACGACCCACCCTCCCCACCCCCGAAGTCACTCGGCTTCAGTGGATGGCAACTATTTGGAGATATTTTGGTCCAGATCTGATAGCCCTTTGTGACAGCACATGTGTGTTCACTGGAGGTTAACTTCCCCCTTCTTTCTGGTTTTTTCCACCAACGTAATCAATGGCAAGTGAGGCAGGAACGGGGGACTATGGAAGAAACAGCCATTCACGTTACCAGTGCACCAAGCTGCAGCTGTGGGACCAGGGAAGCACGAGTCAGGGAAAAGTGCTACGCTCAGGGGAAGAACTCGGATTAGGGCATCTTGCTACGGCTGAGCAGAGGGAGTTGGGGCACTTCTACCAGCTTCAAGAGCACCTACAGCGTAAGTTTTCAAGGCATGCAGCCGATTTACTTAGAAAATAAGTCTGCATTGATTCACTGCGGCTTTTCCCATATTAACCTCACAGTCACTCCTTGGCATTCAGCTTGGTCAGTGGGTCTCAAAATCAGCTGGAGGACTTGTTTAAAACCCAGATGACTGGGTCCTCACCCCCAGAGTTGTGGATTCAGTAGGGCTGGGTTGGGCCTGAGCATGTACGTTTCTAACCAGTTCCCAGGTGCTGCGGCTGGCCTGGGGACCACACTTTGAGAACCACTCTGCAGGGCCTTCTTGACTTGGGGAGAAAAAGTAAGTGGAACCATCAGTGCTTAGAACATAGAGTGGGCCGTGCAGCCATCAGCAACTTGCAGACAACTATTCACCCATAAAAATGACTCCACCATCATGATTCCTGACACACTGCGGCTTCTTAATGCCTCCAGGATAAATAAGGAGGCTCTCCTCCAAACTGCCAGTTTATGCCTTCTGGAACTTTCCACCAACTCACAATCACGGGCCGCAGCATAGAGATGAAGGTGCAGAACCGGCCACGTTCTTCGATCAAAGCCTTCCGGACTGCCTGCTTTTCTGTTTCTTCCAACAGGAGATACTTATCGTTGACGTCTTGGAGCGCGCTGTCCAACTGGGGCTGGATGTCACCTCGCCCTGCAAACGAAACAAAGCCCCAAGCTTGGCATGCTGAAACACCAGCTCCTGGAACCAATGCCCTCCTCCCTCAGGTCCTTGCTGGAGTAGAAACCACAATCTTCCAGGACTTTTAAAAAGTATGTATTTATACCCAGAAAGGATTTAAAGAAGCTGTTTTTCTAGGGCCAGCCACTTCCAATTTCCAATGCCCAAAGAGCATATTTATCCTGGTTTATTCACGACAAGTAAAATTTCCTGGGGTAACTCGTCCTGACCTGCATTCTGAAGAGGCTAAGGGATGAACAAGGTGAGGGCCTATGGATGTTGCCAAAAATGGGCACAAGCTGGCTTTGTTGGGTAATCCTCAATGAAGGAGCCTCTGTTTAGACAGAAGTTTCTGTCCCAGAATACAAAGGTGGCAGGCATCGGCTCTCTTGCCTCTGGGGGGTCCCTGGGACGCCCCGGCAGTTACTTTAATTCCCTAGTGGAGAGTCCTGAATGCCCTTCCTGTAGAACAAGCCCAGCAGCAGAAAGACCTGCAGTCAGGTCTCTGCTGGTGGAGGACTGAAGGGGGCCTGGGTGCGGAGCCTGGCCCATGCCCGGGAGTCATCTGGCCCTGTCCACACAGCCCGGTTATGCAGAGGCACCCATTTCTAGACTTGTCGACAACTCTAGAACTTGGTGAGGCAACTATCTTCATAAAGTCTTATTTGAGTGAAGCCACGCCCATTCATTTACAGGTTGTCTATACCCGCTCTCGTCACAACTGCCGAGTAAAGTTGCTGTGACACAGACTGTTTGGACCCCGGACTGAGAAGATTTACAATCTGGCCTTTTACAGAAGTCTGTATAAACATGGGCAAATAGGCACTGTGTCAGAGGGCATGGCTACTGTAAACGTGATCTGGGGACAAGAAGGGGACTGTCCCCGAGACCAGCTCCTGAGCTTCCACACTGGGCTCCCATGCTCACCTACCACCTGAACCAGAGGAAGAATTTCTAAACTCCTTCAGGATGGAGGCTTGGACTCTCCGAGTTCAGCCCCCACCGAAATGCCACCTGTGTATACAAGTACTCCATCGGTGTTTAATAGGTGTATACAACAAGTACTCAATAGATGCTTTAAACAGAATATTGGAGTGGAGGGGCAGTAGGGGTTATCCAAACAAACCTGCTCCCAGTTCAGAGGAGGTGGAGGCCTAGAGAAGGGGAGGGGCTGTCCAGGGCCATTCAGGGGGGCAGGCAGAGTCAGGGCAGAGCCCACACCGCCTGACCCTCTGACACTGGACCCCTCCTCCTCCTCCACCGGCTGCCTCAAGCCGAGGGACTGGATTCCACTCGCCTCCTGGGAAGGGGCCTGACCGGTCACCACGTACCCCTCCTTAACAATGCGAATGCCATAGAGCAGGAGTCCCCAACCCCTGGCCTGTCCGAGGCCTGTTAGGAACTGGGCTGCACAGCAGGAGGTGAGCGGTGGGCGAGTGAGGGAAGCTTCGTGTGCCGCTCCCCACCCCTCCCCATTGATCCCCATCGCTCCCTACACCTCTCCGTCGCTCCCGTCGCTCCCCACCCCTCCCCACCGCTCCCCGTCGCTCCCCACCGCTCCCCGTCACTCCCCACCACTCCCTGTCTCTCCCCGTCGCTCCCCACCCCTCCCTGTCGCTCCCCACCCCTCCCCACTGCTCCCTGTCGCTCCCCACCCCTCCCCGTCGCTCCCCACCCCTCCCTGTCGCTCCCCACCGCTCCCCGTCGCTCCCCACCACTCCCCGTCACTCCCCACCCCTCCCCACTGCTCCCTGTCGCTCCCCACCGCTCCCCGTCACTCCCCACCACTCCCTGTCTCTC